TTAATTTGATATAGGGGTTTAGGTATCTACAGCTTAAACCGGACGCGCTACATCGCTTGGACGTGAGACACCCCTGAAGGTATACGGTAACCTTAAAGTTACAATTACAATATTTTATTTACAAATTACAGTAACTATATGTACTGTATTAGTATTCACAATTCAAAATGGTATGATTACTTTGCTTTGAAAATTATAATTTATCATTTTAAATTAATGAAAACATTTAATATATAGTTTACTGTATTTAAGTTATAATAAGTTCAATATTATTAAACACAACAGATAGAATTAATTTTTGAATACCACATACTATGATTGTGTGAGGCATAGTGGCCTCATGGTTAGAGTGCTCATCTCTGGATTGAGTGGTCCAGGTTCAAGCCCTGGCCAGGAACATTTTGTTGTGTTCTTGGACAAGACACTTTACTCTCACAGTGCCTCTCTCCACCCAGGTGTATATTAAATGGGTACCAGCAAACTTACTGCTGAGGGTAACCCAGCAATGGACTAACATCCCATCCAGGGGGAGTAAAAAATTAATACTCTTAGTCAGTTCATGCTACAGAAACTGGGATAAGCTAAGGCCTGATGGGTAACTTGGCTCGTATGCAGACTTTACCTTTGTATAAGATTATATAGTAATTTCACTAATGTCAGAAATTTTACAGAATTTGCATCTTTCATTTTCACGCAATTAATCTCTCAGAAAAATAAGTAACAATAAGGTTGTAGATGCTAAGCCAGGCTTCTTATTGAGATTCGGTGAAACAGACACATTATTACATGTACATGTATGTATTTCAGTTTCTATAACCTGAAATGTCTAAGTCTTGCTAGATGTGATGATAGTCCATCAGAGCTCACCTTAAAACCTCCCAAAGTTAGCTGTTCCTCTTCCCCCACCAAAATAAGTCTCCCGGACATTATTTAAGATTTTATTGCAGGACAAAGTGTTGTCCTGAGTTTTCTGACCATTAATTCTTTTAAATAATAACTTCAAGCATCAGATTTACATTTTATGTCAGTAAGACATGTTTTGGTGCATTCATACCATGGCTATAGTTCACTTAAAATTATGAGCTTTCTTATCTACTCACTCATGATATCTGCTCTGATACCAGCCTTCTCAAACAGTGGTGCAACATGTTTCAAGTACACTAGCCGAGCCTGGCCCTTCTTGCTTCTTGGGTTGATTACAATTTTTAATTTACGAGGCCTGCCTTGAATGCCTAAAACAAATAAAATAAATTCAGAATGAATTAGAAACTGCAAGTGAGAGTACTGATCTACCTGTGATAAAACATCAGAACATTTCAGTATTAAAGTAGGCAACAATCAAATTCATACTAAACTATGCACATTATGGAAATAGTCTGATTTCAAAAAGGCTGTGAGACTTTGTTATTCAACCTAATTATTTACAAGTGACATTAAATTTTGATGTTAAATACACTAGTGCAAACAAGAGATCAGCTCACTTGTCCTGCAACAAGTAAGGAACATTGCTTGCTTACACATAATGCCCTTAATTGTTTAAAATATACAAATTGAAAGGAAAAATACACGCCTGGACTAGAATTTTTCTTAAAATAATTTCAACTCCTTCACTTTCATACATGTACATTCAGAGCTGTACCTACTGCTAAAGATAAAGGCAAGAATGAACATTCCAGTAAATGACATCCTTTTAAGACAGTTTCTTTACTAACCCTGTATAATGTCATTAATTTTTGAGATCCACACCTCACAGAGATTTTCATCATCACTCTCGAATGTTATCCTTGCTTCACTCAGCTTCCTGTTTTCAGCTTTGCTGAATGTAAACAGAGTGAAACCAACAAGCCGCCCTTCTTTGGATGGGTCTCTTGGCAAGCGTCGTTTTGCTATCCATGCACCAATGATGTCAGGCAGTTTCAGTGATCTTGTTGATATGTTGTAAACTTGGCTGTTTGAACCTGAGTTCAAAACGTGTTACAAACATGGTTCAACTCAAAAAATAATCATTTAATTTTCTTAGGAAAAATTGATCCCTCCTTGAAGTACATGTAACCTCCCATCCAAATTAAAAATAGTTGTCCCTTTTGAATGAGTAATAGTTTTTGGTCAAAATCTAGTTTAGAGGTTGACAATAATATTCTGCATTAAACATAAATAATAATATACCGATAACATAATAATGTAAATTCATGACATGTGTTGTATGTTTTTTCCTTTGAAGTATATATGAAATAATTCATATTTGAACTGCGGTAGTAGATGAAAGTGAAGTATGATCATCGCAGTAAATTTTCCAATTTAAGCAACTGGAAA